TTCTAGGGAAATTAGAGGGCATGCTTCCCACCAAGACTAATAACTCTCTAAAACGCTCTTTTCTGCGAATTTGAAACTGATAGGGTAACATTTTAGTATCCCAAAATATTGTCGATTTTGTTTTGAATTTGGTAATTATTTACATCAAAGTATATGATTTTTCCATGACAACGTCCCTTGCAGGTGTGTACTGGTTTGACATTTCGAAATATATGTTTTTACCGATGTTAAGTAGAAATGGAAAGGGTCCCAAGACATATAATTAGCGGAATAGAAAGCAACAAACATGTTGCATGTTGACTCGTAGATCATAACTAAATATCACATTAGAACGTACAAGAAGAGTTCTTCCATACAGACGTACACTTTACTAGATAAATTGCCTGAGCATTTGTTAAAATGATAGTGTAAAACAGTTTATAACACTTAATTGTAATATGAGATAAGTGATTTATAATGAGTGAGTGAGTTTGGTTTTACGCCTCCTTTATCAATATCCCAGCAATATCACGGCGGGGGACACCAGAAATGGGCTTCACACATTGTGCCCATGTCGAATCGAACTCGGAATCGGGAACGAACGATCGATTCCCGCGACAGTCAATAGTTGATATAATTCAATCCAATTTTTCTTTCAAGTTTGTAACACAACAAAATTTACTGTTGTTATTTTTTACAAAAGTATGTGTAGGCAGTTACACACCTGAGCATGTAGTAATATTACAGAGCCACAGTATGAGCGTTGTCAAAGCGATCGCTTGTCACGTTGAAAGACCCAGGCAGGTTCGATTTCACCACTTTTGACATGTGAGGTATAACCCGCATGAACATTGGTAAAAGCGGTGTGGATCTAAACTCATTCACTCCTAAACTAACAGCTTAAAATATGAATGAATATGAATGTGAAATTTATCCAAGGAAATATGAAGATGACGTTCCAAGTATTATATATTAATGTGACCTCATCAGATCAGATCTTCTTTTGTCGGCAGCACCATTCAGTGCCAGTACCTCGTAAACGAAATGATAGAATGGTGGCATGTATTCACACTTTGTCGGGTTATCTGTTTTCGGGGGCTTGATCGGGTTGTTGATCCTAGCTGAGGTGTCGTATTACCATGTGTTGGACTGGCTGACCAGTGGTATTACCTGATTTGCCCAATATGTGGATACGAGGATATATTTAGGCCTGCTGGTTGTTAGACGGAAAAAGCTCCAGCATATTTTGACATCTCGAGGTAAATATACTTTTCTGTACGTTTAGCATTGTTATTCTACTAATGCTACTGCTACTACTACCACCACCGCTACCACCACTACTACTACTACTATTACTACTACTACTAGTGCCACCACCACCACTGCTACTACTAACACTGCTACTACTGGGGCGGCGGGGTATCCTAACGGTTAAAGCGTCCGCTCGTCACGCTGCATACCCTGGTTCGATTCTCCCACAAGGGTACAATGTGTGAAGCCCATTTCTGGTGTCTCCCGCCGTGATATTGCTGGATTATTGCTAAAAGCGGCGTAAAACCATACTCACTCACTCACTGCTACTATCACCACTACTTACTACTGCTATTATGATTTGATATATATAGTTTCAGATGATATCACTTTAAAATCGGTGAAAACCATTTTTCTAAATTTTACTAAAATGAATCCTATGCAGCATAATCTCTCTCTGTAATTCCCCACATCTCGTAAGTCAAACCCTGAATAAACATTATCCTTGTTATCGCTGCAATAATACAACCACTGCCTACAATCAAGTGGGACCTGGTAACTGGTTTCATCGTTAACGGTACCACCAGGTGGCTCTAGCCACCGACCTCGTATTAAGGTGTTGACGTCACCAAACGTGGCATCGGTTAGAGTGGGTGGGAACAGTCTTCAGGTAGGCGAGAGCGCCACCTGGTAGGTGTTAGAAGGCGGGAACGTGTAATTCGAGAAATATGGAAGACAACCCGAGGGATATTGGTAAGATTACTCACACGAACTGCCAGTTGTTACCAGAACGACGGACAACAGCAGGCGAGGGATGTATGGAGGTCGTTCACACACGTGGAGGGAATATTGTGATCGCTATCACTACTGGATACCGTTCATTGAACTTGATACTGTTCAATGTTCATTGCCTACGAGTAATGGGGCCCAGAGATATCAGATACACTAAAATGCCATGACACAGTCAATCCGGCCACACTCACTCACTCACTCATTATCAGTCATGAATGTATTGTTCACGTTTATATAGTCTCTGTCCTCTGTTCGCCATATATCCTTCAGCAGTTAAGTGAAGAGAAACTGCTTACAGTATACATGTACTCGAATATTAGTCCATTCAAAAGGTTGTTTATTAGTCTGTTCAAGAGGTTGTTTATTAGTTAATTCAAATGATTGTTTATTAGTCCATTCAAAAGGTTGTTTATTAGTCTATTCAAAAGGTTGTTTATCAGCCGGTTAGATCTTGAGAGGCACTTCTAGTTGATATATCGCTATCGGTCTCTCACGGAGATACCTCAGACAAATGCCCATGAACAGAATGCTCATGGTCTGATTATGACCATAGCATTTATGTTAACATTTATCGTTTACCTTTTTGTTTGTTAGAGTAACCTGGACTCGCTTAGCACTACACTTATAAGCGTGAGTGAGTGAGTTTAGTTTTACGCCGCTTTTAGCAATATTCCAGCAATATCACGACGGGGACACCATGCACCCATGTGGGGAATCGAACCCGGGCCTTCGACGTGACAATCGAACGCTTTAACCACTACGCTACCCCACCGCCCCCCACTTATAAGACTGTTGAACAATGCCAGTTGCTATAATCACAGAACATTGATTGTATTGTGAAAATGAGTTTGTATATTATGATTAGGAGTTTATGTATTGTGATGAGGAGTTTGTGTATGGTGATGAGGAGTTTTATGTATTGTGATAGATATTTCCAAGATATTTTTATGGATTAACCTTCTTTTTTAGTTCCCTCCGAAACGTTGTAATAATATCTTGGACATCTATGTACAACTTCTAGGAGTTTGTGTATTGAGATGAGAATTTGTAAAGGTGGTAATCATAAAGTCAGGAATTCTTTACAACGAGAAACAGGAATTAAAAGCCTCTCTTTTCGGCGTCTACGGTTAGAAAGATGAGATCGTTTAAGTAAGGGTGAAACGATACGCTCTTACCATGGTACGGTACCTATTGCGGTACAAGGCCTTCGGTTCGGTTCGTGTCGGGTCGGTATATGATATATGATCATAATGCAGAAATTGACAACAAGAGCTGTCAAGCAAAGAAATGCATAGATTTTGACAAAATGATTCGATTTCTAGAAAATTTAGAAAAGGTTTAAAAAAGTAAATTATAAGACTGGATTGCATTACGGTATACCGAACCGAAAGCAAAACATCGCGGTTCTACAAATACCGCGGTATACCGTTTCTCCCCTACATTTAATACCACATAACAACTGAGCGGATTTCGATGCGGCAAACCTTCACTCTGAGGACTTGGTGGCAATTAAGTTAGACATGTGGAATTAATGGAAGGAAGGGAAGTAGTTTAAAACCTAGTTGAGGTTATGGTAACAGAGGTAATCAACAGCGGAAATGCCCTGTCGGCCATCGCACCTGGGGCTGTCTTCACTATGGCCTGTCGAGGAGCGGACGTACGGTTCGTTAAAGTTAGTTTCCCTGACATTATGCACAGTGTTAGGTAGGTCTGTGTAGCAGGTACATAGCACGGCTGGAACCCTGGCCTTATATTTACAGATGCCTTTAAAGTGATCTTTTATTACAGATAGAGTAATTACTGAAGCAACGAGTTTTCAATGTATGAGAGGTTTGAATGTGGTGGATAGGAGGTATATGTTGTTTACTTCCGTTACTGTAAGGAATCACCGCATACCGCATTTATCAATTCACCTGGGAGCATATTCTGTAAGTAAATCAAAACAACCCAAACGGTTTAATGGAGTGATTGAGTTGTGTTAACTTTATCACTTAATTCTCTAAAGTCCGAAATGAGAAAAAACACCACGCAGTAAGGTGAATTCCACACAATCGTACTGTTTTCCTGGAAAGAAAGGGCATTTACAACACAACGTTTGTCCACCCGATCTTAGTAGGAACTTAAAACGTGCATTGTGTCCATCCTCATTGATCGGAACCTACAAAGTACATTCAATTTGTCTCCACCCCGATCCTCATTGGTTGGAACCTACAACGTGCATTGTTTTCTGAGGACATACCAACGATGAACAGTAATTAACTACAGTCGTATCTGGTCAACCAGCGAATGGCCGCATGAACGACGACCAATGCAACATACACTATTACAGACCCGGGTTGCTGTGGACCTACATGTTCCCCCGATTCGCCATGGACTATGATGGCGTTATATGTTTGAATAAAGTCACATGTTTGCTAAATAATTTGCTGTATACTGACTGAGTGAGTGAGGCAAGGTCTCATCAATTGATGCGGGTCTCAGAAGTTGAATACTTTGGTAACAACCCTAGAAACAAATTGGACCAACCGGGATTCGATCCTGTCGTAGGTTTCTGACGCGCACAAGGGACGCAACTGCTATATCCTGAATAAACTGGTTCGGTCAGCGGTCATATACAGTTTATGTATCAGTTTCAGTTAATGCTACATGACTTGGTATGCTGACTATTACTCTCACATTACTAAACGTCAACCCCGCCAAGACTGAAGCGTTGGAAATCTGTCTGGAGTTTGTCTGCACCTGCCTGATAGCCAGGCAGACAATATGAAGTTTGAAATAGCGAAACGGCGTTTAAAAGGGGAAAGTTTTAACCAAGCATCTGAGATGTTATCTTCAGCTCAGCGCCAAACCGTTCTCATTGAGGGTACATACTGGCGCATATTGTAACGTGCGCACCACACGAGCGGCGCTCGCGAGTAAAGGTGAAAGGTCGTGTTGCATCTGCTGCCAACGCTCCGGTTCTATATATAGCAGCAGTATGTCTGCCTGTACTTGGGCTCGGATGACAGGGAAGGCTTGGCAGAACAGGGCCAAATTCCTCGCAGGAAAAGATTTCGCTGAATGGTAAGGCATAGATTTTACGCTATCTGTTAGTTAAGGTCATCCATTACGTACTGGTCATTCAGCCATATTGAAGGTAAACTTGCGCTGATACCGTGGAACTATGTTTTGTGTTTAACGCCGCTGACCGTTTTCGTCAGAACACGGATAGTGCTGTGCATAAACAGCGGAGATAAGTAAGTAATGGCGGACGAAGAGGGGGCTGCTTGTTTGTGAAAGCTGTTCACGTGAGAGTGTGTTTTTCATCCATGTATCTACCCTGAGTCACGGTGTCCACGCATCCCAACCTTATAGTCACCCTAAATGTATGTAGCTATCAGACGTTGTGTATTCTGAGCAGGTAACAACAATTTGTTGTCTAAAGTATGCTTATGTTTACCAGAAAGTATGATTTACCTTGAGCTATTTATATATCAAGCTATTTTTTATGTATCAGACAAGAGCTATACTCTTGCTGCCGTGAGCCCACAACACGAACTAGTTGTTATTTGTCTGGTGTTTATGACTCTTACAAGATATTGTGTGTAATACTGGACGATGCATTAATACCACGTATTGCTACGCGAATAACATACTTACAAATGTACCATACACAGAATGCCGTAAATACGTCGTTTCAAGTGAAGGAAAGCAGCCAGAACACTAGTGTTAATATTTAGTATGGGAGATCCAAGCAAAGAATTCTGCATCTTTTGCCAAAATATTACAAGCATTACGCGAGTTATGGTATCACAGTGACGTATTTGATTTCAAGGGGAGATTATGCTATCTTTGAGATGTTATGCCAGTCGCTATCATTTATGTAATATGTCAGAAACAGTGAAACCACAAGTCCGCCCAAAACATTAGTGTCAGGATAGTGATAGATGTCAGGACTATCTGATTTGGGTCCAATACGCACCTGTTGATGTCGGCCATAGCAGCTGCACTTTGAACTTTCACATTTTGCAGATGATAACATTAAGTTATTTAGATTTCATAGGACAGAACAGGTCATACTGACATGTCATAGTGACACAAAGATTCTCACCGCGATGTCATCTACTCCACAATGTCGAATAGAAATACGTCATTGTTATCGCGTCCACTTTGTCCTTGACCTTAGCGAACGTCCTGCCCGTCAAATGTTGCAGTAATTGTTCATACAGCAATTGTCAGCTTCCTGAGTGCTGTACATCCCAGGTCTATCCATGTCCCATTTGACTCATATAGTTTAGGATGTTTTGATTTGCTATGTGATTATTTGATCACTCCGTCTAAATGCAATTATTCGTTATATAGAAACCCAGAAGATATCCCAAATGACTTAACGGTATTCTTTTCATGTATGCATCTACTATATGTCATTTCAGATGTGATCATTTTGTAACTGCAAAAATGGTATATGATATCGACATCAATGAACGGAAATTGGTTCGCAACATTATGTGAGTATTGCGTCTTAATACAAATAGAAAACGCCAGTGAATAAGTGTCGATAACTACCGAAACAGATTCCAATGGTAGAAAAGACCAAACTGAGGTGAAGACTACAGGAATAGACCACTGACGATAACACCAGGTGCTCACAATACGCGTGACGTCGTAATACAGTGACACCACAGAATGGTACCACAAAAGTCTTGTGTTCCGTGAGAGAGATATGTGTAACTATCACGTTGACTTTACGTAACCGTAATCATTTAGCAGTAAATGTGCTGCTAAATATATTATAAGATGCACTGTATGTCAAACAAAGTAAGATTTTATTGTGGATCATGAATTTTCAATAGATGTTTGAAAACTTGGACTGTCCTCAATACAAAACCGATAGTGGTAGCAAAATAAGCAATAGTTACGTGGGAAAGAGATCCGTGTAACCATCACGCTGACTTGAAGTAAAGTGAATCGTTTCCCAATATATGTGCTCCTCAATATATGCACTCCTTGTCAAAGAAAAACAGAATTAATTGTGGGTGAAGTCTCATTAGATGGTTGAAAAATTAGACCGACCTGTATGCTGACTAGTACACACACACACACACACACACACACACAAACTCACTCACTCACTCACTCTCTCTCTCTCTCTCTCTCTCTCTCTCACGAAACACGCGCATACAGCATTTTTTCACCCATTAAATCCTAATGCATGGAAATTACTGACGAAAGCAAAACTGGTGTTTCTTTCGGAAATATGAGTGACTTGTCGCTCTGCAAAAGAGAGTATAGAATTCTTCTTGGTGGTAGTTAAGATGAGACAAACAAGGACTGGTTATATGATTGTATTATAACATATTTGACTCGGTAAGTTTTGATCGTTAAATCTGCAGTGTTTCGGACACTATTTTCACCCTAGTAACATTTTGATAAAGTTCCTAATTTTGGGGTCAAGTCCTGTTTTCTAGTGTATCATTTATCCCCACCGTCGGTTTAGAATAAGGGCGCATTGCGTAGCTTGTTCGAGGTATAGGTGAAGTTAGCTGTAATCCGACCTAGGAACATATTTAGCGAAGTATGTAATAATTAGTTGTGATCCCGTTCTCTTCCAAGGTAGTGTTGGATGTTGCATAACTACCATGCCGTGAGAGACCAAAACAACACGTGTTAGTAATACAGCAACAGGTTACTTGCAGACAAGTGAATATATTCCTGTTATGTACATTCACTACCTGCCAAACCTGTCACTTCTCTTTGAAGTTATTATGTTTTCTTGAAGCTTCACGGTGAATAGAAGCGCACTTGGAAGCAGTGTGTTACAAGCCAAATCTACATTGTCTGGTATCTGCGCCAGGGAAACCACAGTTCTTCTTCTCATAGCCTTGTACACGTGGTGTGTTCCAGCTGATTGTCGGTGCATTGCTATGACGACGTGACACCGTTGTTGCCTAGCTGCACGTGGTGGCAGTCTGTGTTGTATTAAGGTCACATTGTTTCTGCCGCATTAGTGAGGTCAGACAGTTGACAGACTTTGTCAGTGTTGCATTGTCAAGGTCACACGTTTATCGGTTTCTGTGTTGTACTCCCTCCCGAGGTCAGCTGTTCACAGGGTTAAAACTCCCTCCGAGGTTACACTGTTGACAGTGTTAGTCTGTGTTGTACTTCCGAGGTTACACTGTTGACAGGGTTAGTCTGTGTCGAGCTTCCGAGGTTATAATGTATGCAGTGTTAGTCTGTGTTGTACTTCCCAGGTTACACTGTTGACAGTGTTAGTCTGTGTTGTACTTCCGAGGTTACACTGTTGACAGGGTTAGTCTGTGTCGTACTTCTGAGGCTACATTGTTGACAGGGTTCGTCTGTGTTGTACTTCCGAGGTTACACTGTTGACCTGGTTAGTCTCTGTTTTACTACTGAGGTTACAGTGTTGACAAGAAGAGTCTTGTTATACTTCCGAGGCCACAGTGTTGACAGGAATAGACGTGTACTTCTGAGGTTACAGTGTTGACAGGGACAGTCTTGTACTTCCTAGGCCACAGTGTTGACAGGAATAGACGTGTACTTCTGAGGTTACAGTGTTGATAGGAATAGCCTTATAATTCCGAGGTTACAGTGTTGACAGGGACAGTCTTGTACTTCCGAGGTTACAGTGTTCACATGAATAGTCTGCGTTGAGCTCATCCAGTTGTCAATAGATGTCTGCCTTATATTGTGAGGTCACACTGAATTGTATCAGCAAGAATTTGTATATTTTACTGAGGGCACATATTTGGATAGAATATTTGTATTGTATGCTGTAACATATCGCGTTACAGTGGTTGTACTGTTGGATACCAAAGATAAATACTTTCCGTGAGATGGGCATCTGTTTGAAGAGTAAGACATCATTTCCTACAGCGATTAAGTTGTATATGGTAAATGGGATACGCATATCGTTGCTGAATAGTGAATACCATCTTCATTCCATGTGTATCCATCACCACGTCTATGTTTCATTTCTCGTCAAACTGTTTCATTATGTTCGTCCCCGATTCATTCATCGTGACTAACGAATTGCCTGCTTTTAAATTTGGTGCTATGACTTTTTCGGTATTTAAATGACAATGTAATGTATATATGCTTTTGAAATAAAACTCATTCTGAGTGTTTACTTACAATGTTTATGAATGCAAACTTGTTCTCGTCACTATATGGCTGGAATAATGCCGATGTGAAGTAAAACCCAACTCAACTCAACTCAACTCAACTCATCGTGAGTTCATTATAATTTGCCCGCGTGTACATTGCTGTATAGCATAAGAAGCCACTGACTGCCCCCACAGACAGCCGGGCTGAAGAAAGTATACACCCATGTTTGAAGGTGGCTAAAGATCAAGCCGACGTATGGATAGTGGTGTATGTGACATGGACATCATTGTTTGGTTAAAATCCAATTTCAAATGCATACTTTCTTTTTCTTTACTTTATTCTGTATTCAGACAATTCTACAGTATGTTTGGATTTGTTTATCTAGATCCGGTTTAGTCCGAATTAATATACGTAATTAGTTAACTAATGTAAAAGTAAACATGCGAGAACCGTTTACGTAATAATTACACTAATATCGAGTCAGAATTTTGGTGGCTGTGTAAATACATTACGGAAGGCAGGAGTGAATTTACCATGACTTAGCGCATATAGCGGAGTTATCGGAGACTAGCACAGTGCTTGTTGTTTATCCTGCTACACAGAAATGTCAGATACGTTGTACGTCTTCAAGGATCTGTCTGTAAAGGTGAAATACTGGCTGCCTATCGTATGACCACAGGCTAATGGGCGTGACAGGGGAAAGAGATACACAGATGCTTGCTGCTCAGGCCTATGAATACCTGATTGTTTTCCAGTTGAGTTTCCAGTGGTGGAGTGTACTGGTTAACACTGGTTTGATAAACACACTTGTGGTTTTACACCAGGGAAACATGAGTTACATCCTTGTATACACTGGTAATATGCACGTCCTAGGATAACGGTTTGTATTGTTATCTTGGCAGTGTTTGTTTATGTAGTTTGAAGAATATGTCAATGTATCTGCAGAGGACACCTTTGCACAGTATATACATTATATATGTAGATCTTGTACATCTTAAACTTGCACACTTACAGTACTAGTAATTTAAACACACGGGCTGTGAGATAGAAGAACACTTGTTGAAATGTTGTTCCATAAAACGTGCTATTATTATTACACATCAGTTTTACTATGGATTGAGGACTAGTGATCATACTGTCGTCTTATATTACATACTGTACTCCTATATTACATGCTGTACTCCCATATTACATACTGTAGTCCTATATCACATAAGGTAGTCCTATATTACATGCTGTACTCCCATATTACATACTGTAGTCCTATATTGCATAAGGTAGTCCTATATTACATACTGTACTCCTATATTACATGCTGTACTCCCATATTACAAACTGTAGTCCTATAGTACATAAGGTAGTCCTATATTACATATTGTAGTCCTATATTACGTACTGTAGTCCAATATCACATACTGTACTCCTATATATATCAGGTATCGACTCTTCAAATGCAAACTCAATGTCAGTGCGCTATTACTGAAGAGGAACAATTTTTCAGATCCCACGTCGTGTAATACCATTATTAAGAAACATGATATTTGTACTAACCATGAACCATAATCTGATAAGCAAGATGCCACCTATTCATAAATTCTAATTTATTTCCGTTGTTTTCCTACAATATGAAAAAATAAATACGTGCTCTGTAGTAAACGTGGTCGGGTTGCATAATGTCCGGTTTGTATTTCTTTCTCTGTGTGTCCTCTGGAAATCATTCTGTTCACGGTGCCAAAATGAATACAGCTCAGCCTCGATGATTTTGTAAAGGATTTTCTAAATTTGACAAATTTGACATAGTTAAACAATTCTTCCCGAATTTAAAAAACCCCAAACATTTGTTAATATTTTTATGGATTACATGTGTTACTAAAATCCTATTTTGTTGTTTTCAGGATCTGAATTTGGCCCTGTTTTCTCCAAGAGGAAACCTTTCATCATGGCGCATGTGCTTCAACTTCTGTCCAGGGAGAAGCGAAACAAAACAAGCTTATGAGTGACGAGAGTGACGACAGCGTCGACACTGTCATTTCCGCTCTTGATTCCCGCCTTTTGCAGTCCCTATCTGCTTCCGACTCTCTGTCTCCTGAAGACGTCCTTCCCAAGACCCCCACTTCTGACAGTGGAAATACCGAGCAATTAGACGCCATGGGTAATCGTCATGGTGGAGACAAGAAGAAGAAAAAAGAAGACGAGAAGCATACAGAGAAACCTGAGGACAAACCCAAGCGAAAAGGGAAGAGGTCCAAAGGTAAATCAAAGAGACATTCACAACATGTTGAAGGAGAGGGTTCTTCGGGACATGGTCCAGGTGCCTGCGCCTCTCCTTCCAGTTCAAGTTCTAAACCCAAATCTAAGAGACCTGATGTTTTGGCCGACTTGGGAACCCAGGCTTCTGGATCACCTCTGGGAAGTCCAGGAAGTTCCCAAGGTACATGGTCACATGATGACGAATCGGATGTGAGTACAGTCGGGTACAGTACTCCTCTTTTATCAACTCCTCAAGTCCAACGATATGTTTTACCAAAACAGTCACCGGTCCAGACCTCTACTGAGAGGTTGGAGGAGCTTGGTCGGTCAATTGAGAGAACTATTATAGACAATCTGTCTGACAGACCTCCAGGGGAAGAAGGTGCTGCTGCTGCTTCTCCGCCATCCACAACATCTACAACTGAAAGCAAAGGAAAACGAAACGTAAAGAAAAAGAGGGCACTAGGCCAGGCTGTACTGGACAGTGACAGCTTCACTCTACCACTTCAGGATATCAAACATGATAAGGCAGCTACAGTCTCACCTCAAGCAAAGAGACTAAATGTGGGCAGCGAAAAAATATCTCTCCGTGCTTCTCAAGAGTGCCCTGTGTCACCATGGCTGCGGGATGATGACACGCCAATCGATGAGGAGCAGATGGATGAAATGTTTATCAGCTGTATTGACCTGTCTTACAACCTCGCTGACATTTGTTCTGAGAAGGAGTTTACAGAATATGGCTCACTTGAATCAAGAAAGCAGACAAACACTGATTCATCTCGATCAAAAGAAACATCATTGTCACCACGAATTGCCAGGAAAACAGTACAATCAAACTCGTCACCCTTACCAAAACGCGTTGTATCAAAGATAAAAGCAGCCGATTCGAGGGACACTCCCCCCAAATCTGATTCGTCCACTTCCACTCTTGCAGAAATTGGACTTGATACTCGGGAAGAGGCTAGGAGTTTGGATTGCCTGGATTCTACAGATATTTCTGGGAGGGGCACAGACACGCTTAAACAAAGCGCCATTGTTGAAGCTGATACACACGAACATTCTGTGACGACATCATGTGTCATTAACAGCGGATCGGGTGCTAAACCTAAAGACGCACAAAAAACAAAGAAATCTGGAAAATCGAAAAAGAAATCGAAAAAGAAAAAGAATAGATACACTAACACAAGTGTAACTGACATTCCGTTAATAAAAGAATCTTCAGATTCAACGGGAGTAAGTTCTGGAGATAAGGGGAATATAGATTCCGCTTCTGAAAGCCCGGGACATACTACAATCACAGTGAATGATAATTTAGAACTAAGTGCAGAAAGTGCATTTTCAAAAGCAGTTGACAACAGTCAAGCAAAACTGCCAGTGACAGACAGTATTCTCGACCAAACGTCAACATGTCTCAATTCAGAGAAAACATTGAAAGATAAAAGTCAAATTTCTGAACCTTTATTGGACATGTCTAAATATACCATCACAAAAATGGAAGAACAAGTTCAAGATAACAGAAGGAATACTGAGGCTGTGAATGAAGATATTTCTGACGAATCAAACACCATGTCCCCAGAAGTAGCCATTTCTGATGTTAGTTCTGACGTTATAAAATCAATCTCAGATAGTAAAAGCACAAATGAGATTGAAAACGGCCAACCTCTCAAAGACACCAGTGAAAGTGCAACAAGCGAAAGTGTTACAAGTGATGGGAAGGTTGATGACACAAAACAGGGCACACCTGAACGGACTGATCAAGCGGGTGAAAATCTTTCTCCTTCAGAGCCTGCATCACCTAAGCATGTACCTCCCCCAAGTCCCTCAGCTATGGATGCACTTGCTGAAGTAGATGAGGAGGACGAAGAGGCACTGGACTCATTGGAACAAACAACACAACTAAATGAGGTCCAACTGTTTGGTGAAACAGTTTTTAAACGACTTTCAAGTCTAGTGGAAAGTCAAAGTCAAGATGAAGACATAGATGACAGATTCAAAGATTTCTCAGATAGTGTTGATCCCGAGGATGCAGATCCTAGACCTGTGAATTTAGGAACAATGGGTCTTGTTGGCGATGATTTGGATGGATCTATAGGAACCAAGACGCCAGAGGTATCACCTGAACATGAGGTGCGACTAGAGACAAGTCCACCCAAAGAAATTGTTGAAGAAACTATTTTACCTGCTACAGTGAAAATTGTTGAGAGATCAGTTGTATCTATACCTGCTGAGACAATTGAGGATGTTTCTCCAATTTCCATGAAGAAAGTTGATGAATCATACATAGAAGACAAAGACGGATATATCATTGATGACGGTACCTTAAAATCAAAGAAGAAGAGGAAATCAGGCAAAAAGAAGAGTGGAAAAGACAAAAGCAAATCCAAAAATGACACACAGGGGAATGTAGTGAGGAAACCAGAAATACCTGTTGAGTTAAAGCAAGTTGAAAACACGCATGATTCAGCAGCAAAGACTAAATCCGATGAAGGGAACACTGTCAGTGAGACTTATGAATCAGAAAAAGAGAACAGTCCTCCAAAGAGGGAGTCTCAGCAGATCCAAGATGTTATTGAAGCCTATGGACTTGAAAATATTGTTGGCGTCAGTGTGGAAAAGTTGTCCGATGACCACAGTGTGGCATTAGTTGATGACAACGCATTGAAGGAAAGTGAATACCTCTTGCCACGACCTCTATATGAGAGTGATGATGACTCTGATGACAGTTGTGATAGCAGGTCAAGATCTTCAGGAGATCCCAGCACTTCCAGTTTGGAGGTATGTTCTCGACGAATTCCCGAAATCGAGGAGACCTTCAGTGAACTCTTATCTGTGAAGCATATTCTTGAGGACTTGGAAGACAGGACCCCTACCGAAGAAACATTACCCTCTTTTATAAGCTCGGAAGGACTGAGGTCGCCACCGGATTATTTCAATAGTCGGCGATCGAGGATGTCCCCAGCTATCACTGACCGGACAGAATCTGATTTAGACATATCAGAACAAAGAGATGATATCAGTACCGACAGCATGTATGCCGACGACGAAGATGATGGTGCAAGTGAGGTGTTATTCAGTCGTAGCTACAGTGAACCTGATGGCAATGAAGTCGTCGTCAGCTGCACCTTCTACAACACACAACATAACAACAACACCAACGACAGTGACGACTTTTGGGAGGATTACACAACAGCGGATGAGAGTTTCAAACAGATCGAGATCTCAGCGGACGCGGCGTCGTCGACCTTCCAGAATGCACGGAAACAGATGCACGACATCCACCAACATCTGCAGGACCTGCGACGTCAAATGGAACATCTACAGGAGGAGGTGGAGCACGCCACCTTAACGCCCGAGTATTCTATGGACTCAGAGGATAAAAGACCCATCACTGAATAACGTGTATTCCTTAATGAATTGACTTTTGAATTCTACATTAAATGACATTATAATGAATGTATGACAGCTATTCAAGGGATTTATCAATAATATATTGATTATACAAATCAGGAGTGAGGTGGGGGAGGAGACGATTCTGTATACAGTGAACCTCGTTAATACGGACCTCATTTATTCGAAAACACCTCCTTGCACATGATTACTCACACATTCAAAGATTACTCCAAACCAATCATTAGTCATTTTGTTTCACTCGACTTAATGCGGTTCGCATTCACGGAATTTCACTGTATATCTAAATACGTAAGAAGAAAGTGCTGTTAATATTAAGATACCATGTACATTACTTAACTGGGAACTCGAAAATACATGTACTGAGACAACCAGTATTGTCCCTCAAGGCTGTGAGCGAGGTGACTATTTTCTAACATTTATGGTCCCAAGTCACCAGGAGTTGGTTGGTGTTATATTTTACTGTCCCAGTTTACAGTTCAACAGTTGACACTGATGACAACGTTATCCCAGTTACTTCATCATAAGACTTGCGTTCCTATCACAGCATAATTCATTAACGAGTCATTCAACTACTTTTCCTTACGTAATTGAACTAGATTTAACTGCAGGTTACCATGGCAATACAATCTCGGAAGACGCAGATCTTTCATTCAGCCAGGCTGGCCTGGAAATCGCTCATTAAATTAGTTTCTATATATTTCTGAATTACCACAAGCTACCATGACGAAAGTCCTTTATCTTTCTACCCACGCTGGATTAGGCGATAATTTAATGACTTTCAAACCAACTTTTACAACACCATGGGGTAGAATGTTTGATCCTTGAACAGTTGATGTTCAAGTTGCAATGAATATGTCGAACTGAACTGGCCAGTACCAGTATGAACTCTACGTGCACTACCGTGTACCCCTGTTTATTGATAATAGATTCTTCCAAAACACGATATCGACACAGATATTTAAGTCTTCGGGTGTGAAGACGAGATTTTACGTTCGCTTCAAATATTTTCTTCCAGTTCGCCGCAGTCACTCCGCATCATGGCATATCCATCTGCATTGTACACTTTCACACTATTGTTGCGCTTCATGACAGAGGGTTGGATTTATTTGGGAACATGGAATGAGATGTAATATATAAACAAAGATCTGGAAAGATCTTGGGGCGTCTAATCGCGTCCTATGTTCAGAAATTACTTTTGAATACTTTTGGGATGATTCTGGAACCACCAGTAAATGCTATAATACTATCAAACCAGCTATGTATTTCCAAGACCAAGCCCAGGTTGATTATCGCCATTGACAGATGTTCTTGTTGTTTTATTTTGGTTCAATTTCCGACATTAAAGGAGCAGTTTTGTTTTCTGCATGACGAAAACCCGGCTCTTATAGAAAATCGCGTATATTTGACGAGTAATATTTTCTCAACAGAAATCAAAATGAATTTTTGTATTTGGGAAAAAATAACATACCTTTGAAACTATTTGGTTTTGTTTGGTATGAGAACGTTGTAGCTCAGATAACGATGTACGAGTCCATGGGTAGGCCGAGGAAGAAAAGCGAAGAATTCAGAACGTGTTGTGACGAGAGTGACATTTGTACCTTTCACATTTAGCTGATTAAGTATTATTAATATGTGTACATTTTTAACTAGCTTGAGCATTATTAGACCTGGGGTTGGATTGTAATATGTCGAACTTCTTTGTTTGAACTCTAATATTTTTTGTCAACTATTGATTAAAACATATTTAAATATCAACCCCTAAGCTTTGTAATTATTGTTTTGACGTTATACACATGCTAAGCTGATGTAGTTTATTTCTGTCGTGTAATCATGTAAAATCGTGTATTATGCTATCTAAAGTTTCGGTTCAGTTCGGGTCTAGGTACTTGAGCTACAAGAAATACGAGACGTAAAACCAATACGCACTTTAAACTGTTTCTTGTCTTGTCACAGTAACAATGCATCTAAATATAAAACCTTCTCTTTAAAACACTTGAACTGCAATAGTGTTGAAATGAATGTTGGGATGTGTTTGTATCAAATGCTTTGTCGTTCAAGGAATGAAATACACACAGCTAAACACATTTCACAGCGAATGACTGGGCGACTGGGCTACCTGTTTCACCCTTCTTGTTATTGTTCATACAGTTTGGTATGTTTTTAAAGGGATGGATACATTCTTTTATTGGTAATTCACTTATGCTTGGACCGCCTCCGCGGTGTAGTGGTTAGAGCGTCCGCCCGGAGAGCGGAAGGTCGCGGGTTCGATTCCCGACCGCGTCATACCAAAAGACGTTAAAATATGGTACTTGTTGGTCCCTGCCTGGCGCTCGGCATTATTGGGTACAACAAGGACTGGTCGGCTCGGAGTCAGTATACTGTGTCTGAGTGGGGTATTCATGCTTCACTGCGGCATGGTATCTCAGTGAGCTAGCACTATAAAACCAGCTTAAGTCTGGGCTAGTACAAGCAGCCGCACATACACATTCACACGCATGCACGTCGTCATATCAGCGAAATATTCTCAAGCACGACGTTGAACCCAATTTCACCTCACCTCACCTCACCTCACCTCACCTCACGTATGCTTGTGTGCGTTGTCGTATATCTACGTAATAATATTTACACATATGGGAAATCGAACTTCTGTGCACAGCTGGTCGAATCAGCGCTTTACCTACTGGGTAAGGCAAAGAGTGCAGTGGTTAGCATGAATACTGGTCCACCTCGGTAGGGCACATGAATAGGTACAGTTAACTAGGGATCGTAATTATAGTTATCACAAAATATTTTTACAAGCGAACACAGGAATTAACCAGATATAACTGGATAACAGTGCGACTGTTTGATTCTTTATCACTACTGAATTCCGATTTTGTTGAGACCATCAAATGAGTGAGTGAAGGAGTGGGTGAGGTTTTACACCGCTTTCAGCAATATTCTAGCACTAAAAAAGCGGTGGACACAAGAAATGGACTTCATACACTGCATCCATGTAGAAACCCGGATCTTCGCCCCGACGAGCGAACGATTTAATCATTGGGCAACCCAAGACCTGCCACTGAGACCAACAAGATATAAGTTAACAACCTCATTAATACAGATGACCCATATTGCCTTCCGTATTCTGTAAGCGTTCTCAATATAAAGTGCAATAAAATGGGTGCAGGAATTCTATAGGAAATCCGTAAGGACGAATATACTAAATGAGGTCATTGTCCTCTTAAAGGAGCCTCATATTGAAGTCATCCCGCTTGACCGGTTACATTTCTATAGATCTGTCTTAATGATGCCAAGGTCAATCTCGTGTAGACGTGTTCCAGTCACAGCAGGCCATCGTCTCTGGAGGTAACAATGCGGCTTTTCGCACTTCGTGTCACTGAACACACCAGCGACCCATGGCATTGTAATTGAAAAGTGGAAGATACATTGGGTGAAAACTTGGACACAAGGGTGGTAACACACCGTAGTTGAACTATCGAAAGTTGTTTCGCACAGATTGTATTATCCAGTTTTACGACGACAGGATGTAAACCTGAGGCTGGCAACCAAGGTTTTGATAGCACGAATACCAATACGATGACACACACATTGTAAAGGCCTGATCCAAAATATAGTCACCTAAGAGTTCTGGTGATTAATACTGAAAGAGACAAAGTACATGTAACAGTACGTAGTCAAACATGGCACGCACGCACGCACGCACGCACGCACGCACGCACGCACACACACACACACACACACACACACACCGAAGATATTTCACCAAGATGACAGCAGGCTGTGATTATACGAATCTGCAACAGAGACACCGTTGGTTAATATTATGGTTAACGTCTAAAGAATTCGAACTTCAAAGGCACTAAGTCGCCCTGTCTGAAAACCTTATCTATCAAGTCGCCTCGTACGACAAGTTCATTTAGCCAGTGACCACATGCAATCTAAAATTCCACGGAGCCGTGTTCAAGGTTGGGCGGTCCCCTCATCTCGTACATCGGTAACTGTGCGTGGTTTGTGATCAATGGTGAAATAGCTTATGATTTATGTCCGAAAAAATGCACATACAATTGTCAACATTTACTTTTTTAATTTAATACAAACATCAATGATTCATACAAAAATACTAACTGTGAAATATTGATTTATATAAACTTATAGCACTTAGAACCACTGATTTGTAACACGTTCAACTGCAATACAGAAGAATGACACAGGATCAGAAATAAGAACCAGATAACCTGTTTGTTTTCCTATACTTTCTTCGCATAAAGGCTGGTGTAATGCCTTGAGTGAGTGAGTTGGGTTTTACACCGCTTTTAGCAATATTCCAGCAATATCAGGGTGGGGGACACCAGAGAAGGGGTTTACACATTCTACCCATATGGGCTGCGTCAACGTAGGAGTGAGTGAGTTGGGTTTTACACCGCTTTTAGAATATTCCAGCAATATGATAGCATGGGACACCAGAAATAGACTTTACACATTTGACCCATGCGGGGAATCGAACCCGGGTCTTCGGCATGATGAGCAAACACTTTAACCACTAGGCTACCCCACCGCCCATCAAACCTAGGAATCAGTTAACCGAGAGCAATAAACGCCCGCAAACCAGTAGGAAAAAATAAATGTCCATGGTTATTGCTTCTGCAACGCCGTTCGTCAAGCAAGGTACCTTGTTGTACCTGCAGTGCACTGCTGTTGTTCTTTATCTCTCGGTTCATTTCGATTGCAACATGCCATAGTAATTATTATTCCAAACTACATTAAACTTACGTCGACGACCGTGTCAATCACAGTGGTACCACCTATATACAGTGGTAATGTATATGTGTGAGATGAGTGTTCGATGCCCGAAGTTGTAGATCAAATACAAAATGTCTCGCACATGAAAATACACACATAATCATTGTTACAGAGATTGTAAACATATACGTTAAGTGTATCCAAGATTCCCAACGCCCGCCACATGTGAAACAAGACAGTACGTCGCTGGTATGAAAAGACGACTCAAACACTATATATTGTTGACGGCACGTCATATGACTAAAGTACTATGATTGACGTCATGCCATATGACGAAAAAATAAAATGGTTAACGGCATGTGATATGACTAAATATACTATGGTTGACGACATGTCATATGACAAAAATACTACGGTTGACGTCATGCCCTATGCTTGTAAGAATCAAACCAGTCTGGTAGGATGGCGGCAGTAAAAACAACAACAAATGGGCTTGTTTATAATATACATATATATGAGAAATAGGATGAGGGGCTTGTCACGTAGAATTCCAAATGTTTCTCAACGATTCTGTTTCAATTCATTCTTTGTGTGAAGTCCTTTATTAAAGTCAGACACTGAAACAAATTCCTGTGAAATATAAACGCCACTGAATCTCGATTATCGAAAATTACTTAAAAGGTTGGTCTTTGTTTGAAGTCTGACGCAGCATAGCAGTTTCGATTTATATAAAACAATATTTTTTTAAAAATTAAGCAGCAAGGTGGTCTATAAACAACGCTTTGTGATGGTATCTCTAGTTTCGTTACGCCCTTATTTAAAATGAATCGAGGAAACTATTCCTTACTAAAATGGACATACAATTACGAAATGAAATATATAAAACATTGTTATGATTTCTAAACTCTGACAAAAGTATTCATTTAAAATTGGGAGTCCATCCGTGAAATTGAAAGCCGCAGGGTAAAGAGACTTCTTCTTGCACTGAATGAAGGTGACAGATATTCAATGGTTCATACTCAGTCACTTCGCTGTAGATGGTGAACATGATTTCATTGTTAATAATGTAGTCAAGTCCTCACGTACATCGTTGGTGAAAGAGAAGTGATGATGGTATAATTTTAGACTATTAGCTCACCTGAATATAATGACGAGCTGTCCAATGAGTTTGCAAGGAGTGAGCGAGTGATGGAGTCAGGTTTGACGCCGCTTTTAGCAATATTCCATCAATATCACGACTGGGAACACCAGAAATGGGCTTCACACACTGTGCCCATGGTTTGGAGGTTGTGAAGGAATGAGCTTGAATACCTTAAATAGGTTACCAAGAACATACCGCATGCATAAGTACTGACAGATTTGAAAATGGATGTCGCACCGGCCCATGGGTTCACCTGTAGAGGTACTGACAGATTTGAAAATGGATGTCGCACCAGCCCATGAGTTCACCTGTAGAGGTACTGACAGATTTGAAAATGGATGTCGCACCAGCCCATGAGTTCACCTGTAGAGGTATTGACAGATTTGAAAATGGATGTCGCACCAACCCCAGTTCCATGTAGAGGTTGACAGATTTGAAAATGGATGGGAGGTATTGACAGATTTGAAAATGGATGTCGCACCAGCCCATGACTTCACCTGTAGAGGTATTGACAGATTTGAAAATGGATGTCGCACCAAGTTCACCTGTAGAGGAATTGATAGATTTGAAAATGGATGACTTCACCATGACTTCACCTGTAGAGGAATTGACAGATTTGAAAATGGATGTCGCACCGGCCCATGACTTCACCTGTAGAGGTATTGATAGATTTGAAAATGGATGTCGCACCAACCCATGACTTCACCTGAAGAGGAATTGATAGATTTGAAAATGGATGTCGCACCACCCCATGACTTCACCTGAAGAGGTATTGATAGATTTGAACATGGATGTTGCACCAGCCTTCCTTGTTCGAAAGTGTATAAATATACTTCCCTAAATGTTTTCTGTTTCTTTACAATATTTGTAC